TATAAAATGTTGAGCCTTGTGTAAATTTCAATTCATTTAATGGAGAGGAGTCTTACTATAAATTAAACATTTACTACTCTATCATTTGTTCTTCTTCATATTCTCACTTGCTATAATTTTGGGTCAAATATTATGTTGCGGAATTTCATACAGAAACTTTTTTGTTGCCCATTTGATAGATAGTTAGAAAGTTTTAAATTGCAGGTCGCGATTGTAGTCAGAGTTTTGATTGTAGTCATTATGATCATTGATGTGTGAATTATTTTATAGTGTCCGATGCGATTATGTTGCGGCCGCATCAACGTAATTCGGAGTCACACCACAATTGTGGACCACCACAACTACAATGTTGCAGTTATGTAATGTGATGTAATCCGTAATTTGAATCATCATTCTCTTGTTAACATTGTGTATCACAAAATGAATTTATGACATCCCGTGATTAATCCATCTTAAAGAAAGTTATAATAATGAATCACATGCATATACTTATTATACATATCCTGTAAATGAATAAAAAAAAGTGTGCATAAGAAAGTTTCATCATATTGTCCACTTCTCAATGGGCAAGCAAATAATCTAATAAGATTATCATTCAAAATCTTCAAATTATTTTACACGTATAGATATGATATACTCTAAAAATTCAAAATTTACATCAATAATATCCATATTAAGAGGAAAAAATATATACACTAACAATATATGAGTTTTATACAATAATATTCACCATTCATATTTTATCATCACCGATTCTTCAAAAATGAATGGTAGATAATATCACGACTTTATATAAATCTTTACACCAAAGATATATAGTTATTTATATTATACATGATTCTCGTGATAGTCACACACATCTTGCCAAAGTTAAACTCCAACTAAGAATATGAAATGATGCAAATTGCATTAAACCAATAAATATTGCAGTTATGGTGGTTAAAGAAGCTTTTATTTTGCTTTAATATTTAGAATAATACCTACATCCTCGGTTATGTATAACAGTGAGATATGAAAATGACATGACTTTCCATTTTGGCCACATCTTCAATCAATTGATGATATAAGTCATTGTCTTGAAATTTTAGTACAAAATGTCTTTTTTATGTTTTCTTCTTTAATAAATTTACAATATTAGAAATTTTCCATTTTGAAGCTTAAGTTGTGTTTTGTTTTTTTGGCCCAATGAGAAGGGTTATAAACTTATAATTGCAATTAAGAAGCTTCAATCATGATTCTTAGGGGGATATTTACTTGTCATAAAAAAAATGTGTCACTGTCACCTATTATTGGTAGGAAAATACTTAATTATTAAACATTTAATTTAAATAAAAAAATTTCAATCAATCACAACAAATAGCACATGCCGTGAAACTTTTTTGGAACAAGAAATGTGCTTCCAATTCCTATATCTAATGTATATATTGTACAATAAATTTATACATATCTAGTGTAACACCCCAAATTTTAATCTTTAAAATTATAGTATCAGTCCTGGAAGCCTCGCTTGATCGAGAGATTCTCGCCTGAGCGAGAAAGGATCACCTGAGAGGGTGAAATCCTGGACTATACTGGAGGATTCTCGCCTGAGCGAGAGTTGTCTCGCCTAGGCGAGAAATGGCAATTTTGGGCTGTTGACACAGTGTAATCGATTACACACTCCTGGTAATCGATTACATGCTGATAAACTAATCAGACCTGTGCATCTGACACAGTGTAATCGATTACACAGTCCTGGTAATCGATTACATGATGATTAAAAGCATCAGATATGTACATCTGACACAATGTAATCGATTACACCATGTTGGTAATCGATTACATCGTGACGATGCCTTTGTAATTTACACTGTGTAATCGATTACACACTTATGGTAATCGATTACATTGTATTAATGTAATCGATTACACCGTGTTGGTAATCGATTACATAGCGACGATGCCTCTATAATTTACACAGTGTAATCGATTACACTATACTTGTAATCGATTACACTTATCGCAGTGTCTATAAAATAGAAACCCAAAACACATTTTAGGGTTAGAACTTCGAAGAGAAGAGAGAGAGGAGAGCTTTTCAAGAGCAAGGAGCCTTAGGACTCATCTTGGAGCTTGAGAAGAGGTAAACCTCTTGTTACTAACTCTTCTTCTTCCTCTCTAACTTGTTTTGGGTATGTTGGATTTATTTTCGTAACATGAGAAACCATGGAAACTCATCCGTTAGAGTTATGGTTCGTTTTATGTTGTTTTTATCTTGTAAACTCTTGGTTTAGAGATAGTATCTCAAGAATGGAAAGGGTTGTGGGTTGATTCATGAAAACCCCAAAAAAACCTAAAAGTGAAAATGTGGTAAAAGGAGAGAATGAGTAAAATGTTAGAGGTAGAAGATGAGTTTACCCCCAAATATTGAAATATGAGATGTTATGCATGTTTTAGATGGTTGAATATTGATGATGAATATTTTGTGTGATTAAATGATGCAATATAAGTTGTTTATGTGATATTTGGAATAAATGACTAACATTGTGTTATGTGGTGGGATGAAGAGATCCTAAGGTTGGAGGCGGTGTCGGTGGAACTCGAGAAGTTGCCAAGAACCAAACCCAACACTCATCGAGGTAAGGATAAATCTTTAATTGAGCATTTGGAATCGAAAATGTGAGTTTTCTGATTATGCAATGATTGATACGTAAAGTATGCATTTGATATAAACATACATGGGTGTGTTTACATTAAAGTAAGCGTAGATTTACGGAAATGAAAGTATGTGGTACTTTCTGGTTATGCGATGATTGAGTGTAAATCACGTATTTAGTATAAACATATATGGGTGTGTTTATACTAATGTGGGCGTGGATTTACCGGAAATGATTTATGGTGAAACGAATGAAAAAGAAGTACATTTTTAGCCGACCATGAATGGTTAGCGACTCTGGCTTGAGTATAGAAGCATACACTCTGGCTTGAGTATAGAAGCATACACTCTGGCTTGAGTATAGAAGCATACACTCTGGCTTGAGTATAGAAGCATACACTCTGGCTTGAGTATAGAAGCACACACTCTGGCTTGAGTATAGAAGCATACACTCTGGCTTGAGTATAGAAGCACACACTCTGGCTTGAGTATAGAAGCATACACTCTGGCTTGAGTATAGAAGCATGAAAATGATTTATGAGGAGATCGATGAAAGGAAAATATGTTTTAGCCGACCATGAATGGTTAGCGACTCTGGCTTGAGTATAGAAGCGTAAACTCTGGCTTGAGTATATAAGCGTGATTTGTTTTAAGAGAAACGAGATTCTGCTTTTAGCTAACCCTGAGGGGTGTAGCGACTTTGGCTCAAGTTATGCAGCAAGACAAAATGAATTTCGAAAATGGTTTACTAACCCTTTTTCTAATGTGGATTATCTTATAATGACGTTTATTGAATTAACGACTTACTCCTTTGTGTGTTTTGTACTTTTGTCATTGATAATCCCATTGCAGGTAAATAGATGAATGGAGTATGCTAGTTCGGGAGCTTTAGGAGCTTTAGATGTTGGATTCACTATTTGCGTTTTTGTACTTTAAATGACTACTTGTGGATTTGAATGATTGTAAGCATGGCTGACATTTATTTGGGTATTCGTAACCATGCGTATTGTTATATTTGGAGTATTATAACTTTTGGGCTCTTAGTACCCAATGGGAATAATAATGAATGAATTATGTTTTTCCGCAATTTAAATTGTATGATAATATAATAGGTGTAAAGAGTATTTTTAAGGAATGGTTCCTGAAGGTTTTAAGTAAGATGATGAATGTATTTAAGAGGGAATTAAAATGAATGAAAAAAATTTCAAGGGTAGAAATCGGGTTGTTACATCTAGATCCTTCAATTTCTCACTGAGGGAATCCACATTTTAACATGATATCCCAGTCCCGATGCAATTTTTATAGTTTTTTTTTCAATAATTTTTATTTTTCTAGTTCTAAAACATGCATGCTCAGTATGGTCTAATAATAAAATTTATATACGTCCACTCCTTATTATTCACATTTTTATATTCTACTATATTTACCTTCAACTGTGTCCTATGTGGGGGTTCTATTTTTTAATGTCAACTACAAAGATCTTTTAAGGAAGGATTTAACACAATTACATTACCCTTTACTTGAAATTGAGACATATAGTTAATTTAAAGTAAATGTGAGGCAATTCATCTATGGATATGGTGGTGTAAGTAATATATTAGATTGCTTCAATTCTCATATTTTTGTAGTGTCTGGTAGGGTATAGATGTAATTTTGAAGGAAATGTAATCCATACGATTTAAGCGGTTTAAGTGGAATGACGAAGTATTTCAGGTGTCAGATATAATAAAAAATAATAATTAAAGCTTAATGGGAAGTTTATAGCATGACTATTAGTCTGATAATGTTATATGAGACCGAATGTTGAGTGATAAAATGTTAATAAGAGAATAATTAGTAGAGATGAAAATATTGTATGAGTGGACACACTATACAAGATGCAGGAAGAGCGAGACCATAAAAAGCCAGAGACAAAACGATTATGAACAATTTAAACATCACTACTTTGTGAATGAATATGATTTGTAATAGAACATTATAACGTTGTTCGATGTATCTGACCGATACAATGTTTACATTAAGGCCTTATTATTGTATGCATAGTAATGAGCAAGTGGTCCTATTTTATGTGACTTGTGAGAAGCATTTTAGGTTGAAAATAAAAGGAGCCATATCCAATTAAGCTTTTTCATTTCTTTCACCCATCCCATATCCTCCTTTAAAAGCACCTTCAATTGCCTCTTTTGTCATACATGAGTGAGTAGGCTTCAAGAACATAAGATGAAGATGAGTATCCTCCAAACTCACCACTTTGTGAACTCATCTATTGTTTCCCCTCTCTACACTCAACCTCCTATCTTCTTATAAGAGTCACAAAAACTCTTAAACCATACTATAGCTAATGGCATGAGATCGAAGATGCATGCGGACCAAGATGGAGAAGCAGGGCACGTGCAATACTAATTCACGAATTACGAGAGAATTATATTTTTCTCTCTTAGTTTTACTGACTTAGTATTTCATGTGCCCCTCTTCCCCATCATGATCACATCATCTTATAGTATTTTTCTGAAATGCTACCTGAAACCATAGCAATTTGATTTGTGAATCATGATGCTCCACATTGAAGGTGAGTATATATATATATATTAATATATTCTAAAAGCCATCTTATTCATATGTGTTTATTATTCAACATTAGCATGACTTTTGTAGCATGAGATTGAGAAGAAAAATTGAAATGAGTAATTAGTATAAAGTCAAAGTAATTAACTAAATTGGATAAACATTGAAACTTGAAGGATATATGAAGTGACTTACTTGGAATTTGTGTTTGAGATTAGGAAAAGTTCATGGTGCATAAACATTGTCTGAACTATTAGAAAGTGTCATATTCAGAGAACGTGACCTATTAAGAATACATTAATTATGGAATAAGGATTATATATGTTTATAAAAAATGATATATGAAGGGTTCCAGAGTCATTGTCTATCACTAACTCATTCAACACTTTGCATACTATGAGAAATTAATATCATGTTGTAATTAGTGGTTGATAGAAACAAGTTATTATTTTTGTTGGCTTAAGTTTATTTTCTTACAAAATAGTAACTTTGCATACTAAGCATCTAGTAAGCAAATAATATATGCCCTTCTGAAAGAGGATAAGGATCTGTTATCTCAAGTGGTGTCCCAAATCATATCCCAAACCAATGATATTGAAAGAAAAAATAAAAATAATGAACATTTCATTTTTTAATTGAAATTACAAATTTTTATTGGTTTGAGACATGTTTTGAAACTTCATTTAGGATAACAGATTCAAGTAAAAAAAAACACTAATGAATTATACTAGTGGTTTGAATAGTGGTTTAACATTATCAAAAAGTAAAGAACAATTGATGAGGGCACTTGTAAGTAATGATTTTTCTCTTGCAATAAATAAATTTTATCATTTATGCTTTTATCTTTTAGCTATATATGTATCTTAAAAATTATAGCAAAATCCAAAGAGATCACAAAAACTCTCTCAAGTTCATAAATGACATAAAAATTATTCATATATTATATACTTTTTGATGGGTTTAAATTGGAGAAATGTTGTTAAAATTGATGTAAAATTCTAAAGTGTAAGCTTATGTTCATTGAATTATTAAATTGATGTCTTCTTTTTTTGGGCTGATTTTTGGGTCGAGATCATCATGATATTAACTAAAGAGGAAGCCTTTTGTTCAAGACAAAATGAGAAGAAAAGGTACCTTTTTCTGTTTGTACTGTAGCAAATTGATACAGTGACACATATTTAAAGATAAAAGGAGAGTGACACCATTCTCTAGTCATTATTCTGGTGATAAACTAGAATGTTACGTTAGATATTTAAAGATAAAAGGAGAGTTACGTTACAACATCAGAGTGAAAGTTGGAGTAACTTTTATTGTAGAAAAGATGGTAAAATCACGCTTTATGAGGTTCAGATTGTGTGGAGCAAACTGATAGAAGCCCCCGTAAGGAAAATATACTAAATAGAAGGTAGTCCAATTTGTAGAGGAAGAGGTAGATCAAGAAAAATCATAGGGGAAATGATAAAGAAATGATTAATTAAAGCTCAATGTTTTGTATTATAACGTCGTTTGATTTATGTACCCAATCAGATAAAGACTTAATTGATTGTTTTTTTTTTGTATATCTAATTTTATGGAATTTTAAATAATGTGTATTTCTTCTAGTAAAGTGCTAAAAAAAGTTTCACCTAGTTAAATGGTCTTTTAGTTTGGCTTAGAAATCAAAAAATAATTTTTAGATACTGCATATGGGAATATTCTTTCATCCAAGCTATATATGATTAAAGTTGAATTTGTTAGGAATATAATGCAATATGGAAGCATAGGATTGGATCAATTGAGAACTCAATATAAGCAAATAAATGAGTAAGAAAATAACACACAAGATTTAACGTGGAAAAACCCATCAGTGTGAGAGGTAAAAAAACTACGGGCGATCACAAGCAAAATTCCACTATGTAAAAGGAAGAGTACAATAAATTCTCCTATAATATTTTTGTCTCACAAATGCTCTATCAAATGAAACAAAAATTGTAATCAAAATACACTCGACAATATTTGTGTATCAAATAACACAAATACTCTCTTGAGTTTGTGAAGTAGTATGTTGAATGAATGAATTCTTCACTCCATGGCATTCCCTTTTATAGGTGGTGATGCATATCCAAGTTGTCATAGGCAAAATCATAATTGTTGTGAAGCATAGGCTGTAAAGTTTGAAAATTAGCATGCAAGGAGAGTTGGTATTGGCCACAAAATGAAGCAAGGCAATGTGAATGATTTTAGAGTCACATATTCAACATAATTCATTTAATTAGGGTTTACCAAATATCAGCATATATTATGTTGTGATGCATAAATAAGGTGTTTCACTAAATCAGGCATCATAAAATTCATTGATTTAGTGTTTTAAATTGTTCGCGGGAATATGGTGGTGGTTACCCTATTTCGTTTATCGCAATTACGAAAATGTGTGAGAAAATGTGGCTAATATGGTCGCATGTTATCATAGAAACTACTAAAACCATAATATTATGACAAAAATTATAAGGGAACAAAGTATCTCCCCATATCATGAGATATATTATTTTTTGCTTTGTCAACCTCGCTTTGGTGGAAAGACTTGAAAAGACTGTATTATGGTTTACATGATACACATGAGAGGTTGAACGGTGGTTTAAGAGAATAGTGCGCATAAGGGTGTTTTGGTTAGTCACTTGGGGAGCTGGGTGGATGGGTCGTGGATCTGGAATATTTCGTGGAGGAGAGAGCTTTTGATTGAGAAAAACTATTGATTGAGGATCTTTTTATGGTGATAAGTTCTAGTGCTCTTAAGGAGGAGGGTGATGATCATTGGATTTAGAGTCATGATGTGTCAAAATCGTATAAAGTTAAATCTGCATTTAAGGTCATTATGCAATAGGGCAATTCTAGAATAAAGGACCGGGAGAGTTGGGTTTTGGTATGGAAGTATTTGGCGCCTTTGAAGACTCGCATTCTTGCTTGGAAAATATTGTTGGATAGAGTCCTTTGTAAGCAAAATTTGGCGAATACGGGAGTTAATATCAGTGGCAATGATCTCGTGTGTGTATTGTAACGACCCAAATTCTACCCTTGAAAATTTTTCATTTATTTTAATCCTTTCTTACATACAGTCGTCACCTTCATTAAAAACTCTCAAGTATCTTTCTTTGAAAATACTCTTTACCCTATTATATTATCATACAAATTTATGTTGCGGAAAAACATAATTCATTCAGATAGCCTTTATCACATACGTCCAGTTATGGGTTTTCCAGAGTTATAACGTCCATAACTGCATGTCACCATATTATCCTAATCAGATTACATTTATCCCAAAATACTATCAAATCAACTACAATATCAAATAGCAATAAAGACAATCGAGTAAATAAACACAAAAGCTTCCTAATTGAGCTTCATCCTCAAAATCCTTCATTTACCTACAATTGGATTATCATAAACAACACACAAAACAAAAGGGAGTAAGTCATTAGTTCAAAACTAACATCACACGATAATCCACATTTCAAATACAATTAAGCATTGATATAAATCATAACCACAAATAAATAAATGTAAACGTTCATATATTCTTTCTTTCATTTCCACGTTATTCATATTCGTCCTATAGTATATATATCCCATAATATATATTCTATAGCACGCCTACTACGTTCCTTCGAAACCTCATACTTCTCATCATTCATATCCACCCTATAGAATATATATCTCATACAATATACTCTATAGAATGCATACGACTTTCATTGTGACATTCTCAGTTCTCATCCTTCATATTCACCTTATAGAATATATATCCCATACTATATATCCTATAACATGCATATGACTTTCATTGTTCACATCTTCCACTTTATCATCCATATTCACCCTATAGAATATATATCTCATACTATATATCCTATAGCATGCATATTCGTTTATCTCAAATCTTTTTGTCTCATTGCTTATTCTCGCCATCAGGCTTACTCTTTACCTCCTCCGGTTCTACCACATCGGGTATGTAATTTCTCAATGATCCACTACCACTTCGGGTTGGCAATTTCCCTTAATGATCCACTACCACTTCGGATAGGTCATATACAATACCACATAGGGCAAGTCATACACAATACCACATAGGGCAAGTCATACGCAATACCACATAGGGCAAGTCATACACAATACCACATAGGGCAAGTCATACGCAATACCACATAGGGCAAGTCATACACAATACCACATAGGGCAAGTCATACGCAATACCACATAGGGCAAGTCATACACAATACCACATAGGGCAAGTCATACACAATACTTCACTACCATTCCCAGTAGGATAACAATAACAGTCCACTACCACTCCGGGTAGGACACCATAACAGTCCGCTACCACTCCGGGTAGGACACAATAAACAGTTCACTACCACTCAGGGTAGGACACGATAAATAGTTCACTACCACTCCGGGTAGGACACAATGATAAACCACTACCTCCTCGGGTAGGGTAACAACCATAAACTTACCAACACGTTACCTCTTTCACATACCTCATTCACATAAGTGAGTATGAATTAGAGCCACTTATCCCTTACCTTGGTGAGCGTTGGGGATCGGTTCCGAGTAACTTTAAAAGTCTCCTCCGCGATTTCCTCCAACCTTAGGATCTTTCCTCATTTCCACCAATAACAACAATGTTAGTCATTTATTCCAAATATCACATAAACAACTTACTCTGCATCATTTAATCATACAAAATATTCAACTATCTAAAACATGCATAACATCTCATATTTCAATATTTCCAAAACTACTTCAATACAAGTTTCAAAATATCAAAGCATACATGTTCATCTCATATAACAACATCAAAGCCATTATCCACATCTAACATTTCATCTCTTTCTCTTTATACTCGTATTCTCATTTTTGGGGGTTTTTGGGGTTTTTGATGAATAACCCATAAAACTTTCCATTCATCAAATAACAACTCTAAACTAAGAGTTTACAAGATAAAAACAACATAAAAGGAACCATAACTCTAAAAGATGAGTTTCCATGGTTTCTCATGTTTTGAAAATAAATCCAACATACCCAAAACAAGTTAGAGAGGAAGAAAAAGAGTTAGTAACAAGAGGTTTACCTCTTCTCAAGCTCCAAGATGAGTCCTAAGGCTCTTTGCTCTTGAAAAGCTCTCATTTCTCTCTTCTCTTCGAAGTTCTAACCCAAAAATGTGTTTGGGTTTCTGTTTTAAAGAGGTCTCGTCGGGTTGTAATCGATTACCAACATGGTGTAATCGATTACAACGTGAAAAATGCGCATATCTGATGGATGTAATCGATTACCACGAGTGTGTAATCGATTACCAGCAATGTGTAATCGATTACCAGCAATGTGTAATCGATTACCATAAATGTGTAATCGATTACACTGTGTCAGATGCACATATCTGATGCTTTTAATACGATGTAATCGATTATCAGCAATGTGTAATCGATTACCAGCAATGTGTAATCGATTACCAGAAATGTGTAATCGATTACACTGTGTCAAATGCACATATCTGATGCTTTTTACACGATGTAATCGATTACCAGCAGAGTGTAATCGATTACCAGCAATGTGTAATCGATTACCAGAAATGTGTAATCGATTACACTGTGTCAAATGCACATATCTGATGCTTTTTACACGATGTAATCGATTACCAGCAGAGTGTAATCGATTACACTGTGTCAACAGCCCAAAATTGCCATTTCTCGCCCAGGCGAGAATCCTCCAGTATAGTCCAGGATTTCACCCTCCCAGCTGATCCTTTTTCGCTCAGGCGAGAATCTCTCGATCAAGCGAGGCTTCCAGGACTGATACTATATTTTTAAAGATTAAAATTTGGGGTGTTACATGTATGGTGTAAGGAATGAGAATAAACAATGAATCATTTGTTTTTCTCGTGCCTTTCTCTTATCGAACTTGGCAAATTCTTTATTAGTGATTGAGTCTAGTGGTGGTTTTACCCTGTAGTGGAAAGGACCACATTCTTCAACATTTATTCCCGAGTAGAGACAATATTTCGAAAGAAGTTTACTCAGATATTTGGATAGCTGAAATTTGGGCTCTGTGGACTTGTAGGAATAATGTTGTTTTCAACAACAAGGGGGGTGTGCTTGGAGGAGCTAGTGGATGATACCAAATTCAAATCTTGGCTTTGGATTAATGCAAGACACAAGTCTGCGAATATATCTTGGTTTCATTGGACTTCTAACTTGGTGGTAGTACCAACAATAAGAGTAAAAAATTATACTTTTGGTGTCACAAATAAGTACAGAGAGGTAAGGGGTTGTCGTATCCACAAGGACTTGCTAACTTAGCATTTCAAAATCAAATCACTATTTCAAGCTAGTTTTCAAAAGGATTTTCAATTTGTTGTTGGTTTGGTTGAAAAGATTTTATAATAAAAATGTTGGAATTTCGATGTGGGGTTGACTCAGTATTCATTTCACTAAACTGGGCACACAACCAAGCAACAAAACAAGTAAAATTTCACACAATATTCGACTTCAATTACACTAAGAACTAATGTTTTAGTTTACTTAGCAACTCGTGAAATAAAACTTAAACCTTACACACAAGATTGTCAATTATGACTCACACACATACATATATGTCTAACAATCTATGTATTCGAATTGAGTAAATGCACACCTCATATGTGTTAGTCGTCAATGTCTTGATCTATGCTAATACCTTATCAAAATAGTTCTATGTCCAACAACTACAATGGAAAAGATTAAACTTCATGAACCATCAAGTATGTCTATATGTCTAGCAACACCCACCATCAAGTTTGAGAGTTTTTCAATGCAAATATGAGTCTATGTCTAACAAACATATGAACATAGGCATTCGTTGTGGCAATTTAACATAAAAATTACGTCTACTTTTATGCAAAAGGATGAATTACATGTTTTGGACTATTGAACCAGAATTTATTCACAAAGTTCTTTTCCTAAATCAAACTGAGCATTTTGTCAAACACATTTTAAGTATTACAGTACAACAAGAGCAATTCATAAAAATCAAGTCATTTTATTCATAAATCGAATTTCGAATACATTAATGAATAAAAAATAGACAATCCCAATTAAGAATCAATCTAATTAAGTATTTTCACACAACTCGAAAAAAGATGGAATTGTGGAAATTATAGTTCATGGAGAAGTGTCGGCTCCTCCATGAACATCAAGAATCTCACTATTTCCTAGTTTCTAGTTGTTACATCATATTTCCAACTTACATAAAACTACGAACTATGAAGAAAAGAGATCATCTTAGGTACTGAATTTAGGACTCAACATCTATGTGGATATATTTGTTCTCAAATGGCATCTTATATTTCTTTTTTGTAATTCTAGATTTTTCCTGGCGCACCTCTTTTCATATTAGGCCATTCGTCTACCTTCTTCCGCGTTGGGCGTAGCTTTCACGCTCAATACCTCCTGCGTTGAGCTCAGCTCTTACGTTGAGCACAGGAGAGCTGATTTGCGGCTTTTGCATACTTATGCCATTTTGGCCTATTCTTGGCTCAATTAGCCCTTTTTCAGCCCAAAAGAATCATAAAAACTTGGAAAGTAGGATTAGCACAATTTATCATCAAAATCTGAATTATGATTACATAAAATAAGTATTTAGAGTAAAATAATATTAAATTATCCTTATGAGTTAAGGTAATTTTGGCACTTAACATTCGATTCTTAGCATGTAATGCTATTGCTAGTTTTCTTTTCCTTTTGTGGAACTTAGGTTTTGTTTTCTTTGTTTTTATGGCTTTTATTGGGTGGGGTTTGTATTAGAGGTATTTTGAATTCCTTTTTTTATATGTTCTGTATATTGGTTTCTTTAATGTACCTTTAGTTTTCATTAATGAAATATTTACTTATAAAAAATAGAAATATATTATCTCATTCAACAATTAAAATTTTGATATGTGTCTTATTTTCATATTGTTAGTGTTTTGGTTAGGATCCCTTGTCTTTGGAACATTATAGTAGAAGCTCACCATGTGATTCTTCTGTCATTAGTGGGACACAAGCCAGAAAATTACTATGATTACATCTAACATGCTTTTCATTTCACTTTTCAAAATTCAATTATCTACTTATTTTATATATTTGTTAATTTGTTGTATTATAAAGTAATTGTCAAGTTATTATCTAGTTGGACCTATGCATTATAACATTTTTTTCACATACATCCAATGTTTTAAAGTATCATTATAGTGTAGTTCTATATCAAAATTGCGAACTATAGTTGTAAACTATAATATATACAATTGTAATTATGATAAAGATACGATTTTGAAAACTACTAAAACTATAGTATTGTAACTTTTATCACTCTCCCAAACTTCAATTTAAAACTTCATATAGGCAAAAAAAAGCTTTGGAAAATTAACATGACAAAAAGATATATACCTCGAAAGTGTAAGAATTTTTTTTATTTTTATTTAGTCATTTACCATTTATATTTAATGAATTGACTCTTAAATAATAGTAGTGCAAATGAATGGTAGATGATTTAATAATCATATATAAATATTTATACTAAACATAGATATTACACTCAATTAATATATGTCATGATTTGTTGTCAAAAATTGGTAATGACGTGAACATAATAGCCACTATCAAGTATGCATCCAAGACAAAGAGACAACACATAACTCACTGGCATAGAAATAGTCCATGTGTTAAGCTTTTGCACCCTTTTATACACCACTTAAAGCACCACCCTTTAATTAACCAAACAAGCTTTTTATATCAACTTTCAAAATATATGGTTGTGTATATATCTACTATATATGTAATGTTTATTTGTTAAGTTATCTACTATATATGTAACTTTCAAAATATTATATACCATTTTTATTTGTTAAGTTAATGTAATGTAATGTTTCATATTATTGCAGCTATGATTACATTGTATTTATTGTAACTGTGATTCCAATTGTGTTTGTGATAACATTGTTAGGACTGTAATATTGTAGTTTATAAAAATCGGTTTGTGTCGGTCGGTTTAACTGGTAAACTGATGAACCGGTTTCAATACCGGTACGGTATAACAATTATACCGGTCCAAACCGGCCAAAGTTAGTTAAAACTTGTCATACAAGCCGGTTTTCAATTGAACCGTACCGGTCATACCGGTCGATTTTTATTTAAAATTAATTTTTTAATGAAAATAAAAATAAATATAGTTTTTTATTGATTTTTCAACATTAAATATAATATATTATATATGTATATCTAACTTCACCGATATATAATTTAATTAGTAAATCATTAGTTGAAATATTATACCACTATATCAATACTTATACCGGTTTAATAATTGGTACCCTATTAATAACACCGGCTACAACTCGATATAGGCAGCACTTCTAGCATTGACTAAAATGACATGTTGTCATGGAAAAGCTGATGGGATCAGACTTAGTTTACCATCATTGACCTGTCTTAATTATTATGCATTTTGTCACTCATATTTTGGAACATAATATAAGACCCTTTCCATTTCCATGAAAACCCAAAAAACCTTTATCTGCCATTATTTCCTATT